CTCAATTACACTAATCTTCAAGTCCGGTAACATGCACAAAGTGGAAAATTACCGACCTATCTCGATCCTGAACTGCTTGGCCAAAGTTCTCGAAAGTCTTCTGCATGAGAAGTTGTATCCAGCTGTTCAACCCATAATCTCAGAGTTTCAGCATGGATTCATGAAAAAGCGCTCGACAGTCTCTAACTTGATGACTTACACGAACACTCTTATAGGTAGCATCGAGAAGCGTCAGCAAGTGGACTCCGTTTACATCGACTTCTCTAAGGCTTTTGACAAAGTCCCTCACGATCTAGCCATTATGAAGCTAAACCGCCTTGGTCTTCCACCGTGGATCGTTTGTTGGTTGAAATCATACTTATCATCCAGGAAGGCTTTCGTTAAGGTACGTGATTCCAGATCCGAGGTATTCCATATACCATCAGGGGTTCCACAAGGGAGTTACCTAGGACCTCTCATTTTCGTTCTGTTTATTAACGACGTGTGTGATATGCTAAGTTCCTGTAAGTTGCTATATGCGGATGATCTTAAGCTGTACCGTGTGATCAAATCGATCGTGGATTGTTGCGCACTACAAGCTTTTTTTTTTTTTTAATTCTTTATTAAAGAGATTTTTAGCCTTAGGCTAGTCCATCTCTAAGCACTACAAGCTGATATAGAGCGATTGTCATCCTGGTGTCAGATGAATGGAATGCAAGGCAATGCTGCCAAATGCAAAGTGATTACCCTTACCCGCTCTCACTCTCCGATCATTTTTGATTACTCTATGAATCAATCGCAAAGGCTAACTCCATGCTAGGATGAACTATATATTAAGGAAACACATGAGCCTACCGGACGGTACGTACGTTTATGCTTTTTGATGTAAATTTTAAGATGTAATTGCCTTAAGAGAATTAGGCAGGATTTTTTTTTTTAATATATTCTCCTAATATGAGGGGTTTAAAATTGGCATCAAAAGGCATACAAATTGATACGGTCTGGCATGCTCAGTGCTTGCTATCAATATTCGACGACTGTGTTAGGGAAACCACTTTTCCCATCACGTAAACGCCTCGTTTTTTTGTGTCAAAATTACGCATTTTCGTGCACAAAATGCACGAAACTTTTGGTTTATTCAATAGATAATAAAAAAGAAGCGAAAATTGATAGGAGGAATTTCTTGCTAAAAATTTTCCAATTGCGAGATATCCGTGATAAATCATATAAATTCTAGCGCCCTGAAGAAAACCTTACGAAGTGTTTCGGTCATTGCGAGAATTTTTATGTACCACTTCAATACTTGACGCATTTGGTCACAAACGTTTGGTTACTGAGTACATTATCAAAGAGCTTTGGGGGTGATGTGGTAGCAAAATTAAATTTACTTAAACAACTCAATTAACAACAACAAAATTAACTCTTATAGTACGTTCAGACTACAGAGTTATAACATGTTATAACGCTATCTTGATGGTGGTTTCTGTGTTGCAATTATTTGACAACCGTTATAACATGTTATAACTCTCCAGTCTGGACAGCGTTTGAACAAGGCAACAACAATAATTTATGGTGGACCTGAAAAGAACCGTTTTGTCGTGATGATTAGAGTAATGCTGAGCTATTAGGGTGTTTAACACGGATGAGGCTGGCGAGCTGTACGTTGTTTGGAACGAGGGTGACGTGCTTGGCATAGATGGCCCACAGCGACTCACGAAGATGGATCCTCATCAGTAGCGGTGAGGCTTCTTCCTCCTTCTTCGGTGAATGGACGCTCATGTGGGCTGCAGCTCGCTGCTGCTGCTGCGGCTGCTGCTGACGATCGAACGGACACCACCACACACGGTGATTAAATAAGCACCATTCAAGGAGACAGGATCGAATCCGATTTTGTAATCTGTGTTAGGAAATGCGCTTTTTGCAGGCAATCGGTGATAATTTTGATCACTATTGAAACAGTTGGACATTTGGGTAATTTCCAGTAATGTCAAAATTAATGGAATTCATCTGAATTCCACATAACATTTATGCGATCACATTAATTTTATATGATTTTTCATATGAACTTCATCGGCCTCATAATGATTTACTCTATCTACAATGCAGAAAAGATTGTGTTTTGCTGTGGCTAGCTGCGCGCACGCTGAGTAGATAGAAAGAAGATTGATGATGATTTAGACGATTTCCTGCAAAAAAATGATGCACGATGCAAGTAGATGCGAGAAATGAAAGAAGATTTTTCGAAGATTGATTCGCTAGTGTGAGATTTGTTGAGCATCTAGACTTGAGATTTAGATGTGTCGCCCCCCTTGGAGTAAAGTTTAAGTTTCATGTCGGTTTGTCGGTGGTAAAAGCAGCGTAATGTCAATTAATTATATGATTTGAGTAGTAGCTATACTGAAGATCCGAGAAATGTCGCCCCTTCATTGGTAGTAAAATCATTTTTGCAGTATGAGAATATCAGAAAATTCACGATTTTTGACTAAACATGCTTTCATACAAGGAAAAAAATTAACGAGTATCACCATAGTAATGTACTCGTGCAATTTTTGTGCATCTTAAACTGCTCATAAAGACGATAATGAATAAAAATTGAAAATTTTTCATGCATTTCCAAATGGTTTCCTACCATTTCCATACATTTGAAACTGACTGGTCCTCTGGATGTGGATGATGTCAAAAACAACAAAACATGATTAATTGATGCACTGTATTAATGATAATTTTGTTCTTTTCGCAAGTAATATTACACTATATTTTTGACACGATTGAAGTGCATCCACTTTGATGTGATATCAAAATATTTTTTTTGTTGTGTAGTCACAGTCACTATTAACGGAGTTCCAATTTCTTGGTCATATCAAGTGAAATATCTTGGACTAGTACTTGACCAAAAATTAACTCACTAAAAATAAATTAAAGTTAAATCTTGATTGACTAACATTCGGAGTCAATCAAGATTTAGCTTTAATTCGAATCGAAAGGAATGTCCCCGGTTCATGAGTTGATGTGATGGGTCGAGGGTCCAGGTGGGAGCTGCCTTCCTGGCGTCGGTAGCATTGGTGCTCAGAACGGAAAACAAATCAAGGAAATAAAAAGCATCTTCGCGAGTTTTTATTTAACCGTAGTTTAGCAAAATAAAAAAACGCAACAGGGGGGGGGGGCCCTTAGGCCCACTCCTGATAAATTTTTTAGCTACGCCAATGCGGACATCTATTATATGACAAAACTCATCGGTTCCGTTAAAAAAATACCCATATTGCTAGGTACACGAAGCATGCCTGTAACCATGTATGTAAAATAGGTGTCTATCGTTGGGTCTTTAAAAGTACACAGAAAAAAAAGTTGTTGAATATTACATCCAAACTGCTGCAACCAGGTCAATCCATCGGTTGTGTAATATAACGTTGTACGATGTACATCGATTTTGCGAACAAAATAACATCCATTGATGTAATATTCTATCTGCTTTTTGCTATTACATCATTATTTCATACATCAGCTTGAATTACATTGATCGATATTACATGTTTTTTTGCTGTGAGAGTCCGAAGATTGATTTTTTTTTTTCTTGATTTGTTTTCCGTGCTGAGCACCAATGCTACCGACTCCAGGGAGGCAGCTCCCACACCTGGACCCTACATATCGACCCATCAACTCATGAACCGGGGACCAATATAGTCGCTATATTCATAGTCTGGTGGATAGAATTTCGTTCTATCAAAAAGCGGAACCATTTCAATATATTGTAGACTAACAATTGAAAAGGTCTTATCAACGGTCATCTTAACGGTTTCCAAAGTTTTGTTCGCAATAGCTGATGTGCTCTATTCTATTGTTGGTCGTGATTTGCTCGATTGGTTCCGCTATTTGACAGCTCAATTGGTCCCGAGATTCTATCCGCCAGACTATGAATATAGCGACTATAGGAACCAACGGCTTTACTTCGCGCCGACTGGGATTGAACCTGGAATGAGAGGTGATCATTCCTACCACTACACCACCGGCGCCGCTACTCCAAAGATTGATGTCCGACGATATTTTGAAATTCTATATTGTGAACCGGATTATAGTATGGTGGTCCTTAAACGCGCATTATGTACCTGCAACACTTTAATTTTTGGAGATATTGGCAAGTCATTAGCATCACTATGTCAAAACAAGAAAAAAAGAAAAACCGTCAAAAACATAATATAAATAATGCATATCATCGTAAGTGTCACACACTACAGAGCCTAGTAAATAAACGAACTAGTTAAAAAAAATGTAAGTAAAACATTTTAACCATTGTATGTTGTCTACTATTGCTTGACGAAAAAAATAAATTTCTCTTAAAAAAAACCTGTTCGACTAATGTTATTTATTTGCCAATGTGAAGCTCTCCTAATAGAAGTTTTCAAAAGATAATTTCTACTTGAAAACAAAGCCCATTTGATTGGCTCAGCTGTTTGTTTTCAAAAACGCTTTTTATGATTCTGTTAGCAAAATGATGTGTACGTACACGCCAACACCAGAGAAGTATGTAAGGGAAATTTCGGATTGCGTAATGTACTTGTTGTGCGTAATGCTTAATTTTGTAAAATGTATTATAGATTTAAGAATTCAATTTTATTCATGTTCTTTTTTTGATTTATTAAGAATAGAAAGTATGATTGACATTGAATGGAAAGTCCTAAAAACAAGTGTGAGTGTTTATTTACTATCAGTTAGAAAAGTATTAAGTTAAATTAATAAATAACATAAATAAATAAATAAACATACATATACAAATTCGAATGCATTACCGGCAAAATAGAATCACGTCGATATCAGTGTAAAAAGCAATACTCCGGTTTATGCTATTTGTATGATACGTAGGCAGTTTTAAATGTTGGAAACTAAGTTTTTACATCAGTTTACTATGTTGACAACAATAATTGCATGAGTTTTCAGTAAATGCCTTTTCGAAAGCTTATTGATTTACATTCCGATACACCGTTCGCACGATCTAGTATGGAAGTAACATGGAGTTTGCAAGTATGGAAATAATTGCTTTGGTGCATAATAATTCATAGACAGAAAATGTTATAAATGCTTTCTGAAACACAAAACAATAATTTGACGGAATCACATGCTTCCGACGTGTTGGGTTGTCTTTTTTTATATTTGATGCACCTTAACTTATGCCACGTGAGTAGTCATTACGGACACAGGATTTGTTGTTATAACCTTTCGAAAACGCCAGTTTTAATCCAGGACGGTAACGTAGTTTGACAAGCAATCAGCATTTACATGTCTAACCGTTGGTAAAATACGCTGAATTTAACTTTTGATAGTTCCAGATTGATGCTTAAGGCACATGATGTGTAGAATTTGTAGATATGCCAGTTATTGAGATTTCGTTTAACAGTACTGATAAGATGAAGGCCTAAACTTCGTTGCATTCCAGATAAAGCTGTCGGCAGTCCAAACCTAATCGCCCGTTTCGCCCTGCTTCATAAAGGGTTTCAAATGACTTGGATGATTGCCTTTCAAGGATGTAGCTTGTGGCGTAACTGAAAGAGAATAATAATACAACAATGATAAATCTTGCAAAGTACAGTGTGATCTAGATTTTGGCAATACAATAGCTCCATCTATGTTCCCTGCGCTTCGGTCAGAGAGCGTATAGGGCGTCGTTGTGCCAATTTGGTCGTGGCACATTTCGAGTATGAGAGAGTAATTGCAGTTAGATCAAAAGCTCGATAAAAAGTGCCTGAGAAAAATGCAAATACTTTCGCAGATTACCCGAAGTTGCGATAGTGAAGGTATGATCACAGACAAGCAGACATAACACTCTTAAAACCTTCATCGAAATCGTTTTTGAATGTCAATTTAAATGTTTCTTAGTTGGTAGTACTGACACTTGTGGTGCACATAATCAATTCCTTAGCGTTTGACGTTTACACACTACAACCATCTGTTGAGTGTATTGCCCGTCATAGTGTATACGACAGATGGCGAAAGGGTTTACAATGATAAATGTTCAATGTGTTGTGTCTGCTTGTCTGTGATATTACATGGAGGTTACGTTAGGATAAAATCAAAACATTGAGAAATATAACGCATCACTTTCAGAAATATTTCACTTCGCAACCGATGAACCATTCTGACGGCCATATGAGTACCCAAGTAACCATATAGTCGCAATATAGCTTGTATATTCTTACTTTGCTTGACTATGGTTAGTTGGGGAATCTGATGAAACTGTCACTTCTTTAAACTGATCCCTTTCGTATTTCTTTCATTCTCTTTTCGCACACGGAGCGCTCGGTTGAACAGCGACTTTGAACGTCCCAAATAACCATGGCAATTCAATTCAATTGGGTTCTTTAATTTTGAAAAATGTATCGGTTTTTATACATCATCTTAAAGAGCTTCGTTTTCTGAGTACAGCGATATTTTTTTCGAACCCACACACTCTCATCTTGATGTTTAAATCAAGATCTAAAGCAAAAAAAAATAACTTCACTGTTTGACACTAAACTAACAAACTGATAGCTCGCTCCCATACAAAGTGACACCGAGGGGCGCTAATAAGGTGATTTTTTGCAAATATAATCGTACTTATTTAAAATAGTTCCAGTGTACCAAAATTGATGAAATTTTGGGTTTGGGTTCCATTTTTAATGCAGATTACGAATATGCATTTACCTCAATACCCTTAAAGAACCCAATTCAATTAAACCGACCAAAAAAGGCGGAATCTTATTAGAACCAACCAAGGACGATCTACGGAAGGAAATTGCCGGTGAAGCACGGAATGAAATACGAAGCGTTAGAGAAAAAGTCCAAGGGATTCCAAAAGAAGTAATCAACGACGACGGAAGAGCAGAATATGGTGAGAGCTTTCCAATTATTAAAAAAAAAATTAAATCAAATTAAACTTAAATACATGCCAGGTTTGACAAAATATATTTTCGAACCTGGAAGCGTGTATGTAATACCAATATTCATTTGATAACGGTGATGCATACATGCGTGGCTTACTGTAAGTGAAAGTAACCTCGGAATGGGCTTGACTCTCCAGACATTCTGAAATGGGTTGCTGGATCTGCAATAGAGCTATCACCAGGCATGGAAAATCATTTGCATTCATTTCATACATTCATTTACATTCATTTGCCTCTAACTTTTTTCATCAACAGCAGTCCGCAAAATGATATATAGAGCTTTTGTAGGTTTTGTTATTAGCTACAACTTTTGGTCATAACTCAAATCTATATCTCTTATGCATCACGAATTAGAGCGGGCAGAACTTGTTACTGTTTTTCAGTGAATGTAAAATACATTCATTGAAAAACAGTAGTGGCTTATGTTCGCTCTGGTTCGTCATGCATAAGAGATAAGGATTTGACTTGTTTAGAAAAGTTGTAGTTAATAACAAAACCTACAAAAGTTCTATACATCATTTTGCGGAATGCTGTCGAAGAAAAAAGTTAGAGGCAAATGAATGTAAATGAATGCATGATATGAATGCAAATGATTTACCATGTCTGGCTATCACCTTCTAACTCCCGGACTAAACCTGTCTTTTTTTTGTAATGCGGTAATGCCTTCGGGCGGTTCCGGGGAGGTCAAGGGCCAAGCGCACAGGGTAAGGTTTAGTGGGTCGGGAGTGAAATTCTCCCATCACCACACCCTGAGTTCCTTCTCAGGTGTCTGTGAGCAGATTCCCCCCTGTATAAACACACACACACACACACACACACACACACACACACACACACACACACACACAACTCCATCTATGTTGCCAAAATGTAGTCCTCTTTCGATGTAACAATTTCAGTTTTATAAGGCTCTGTAGCCCATGATTTAGACTTTTAACATGTTTTAAAATCTCCATAAAACTAGCAATGTTACTTGGGAATTGAGTGCATAAATGGCTTTACAATACGAATAAATAATCTCAAAGTGTGTCATATTGAAAAATTATTGAAAACATACTATTTTAATATATTTTTCAGAAATTCTTTTTTTTTGTCATAGGGGAAATGTTGGATTCGGCAATACCTTAACTTATTATCATCAGGGGGTAAACAAAGTCCTAGAGCATTCAAATTTGGCCAATAGATGCTCTGAAACACAATGTATCCACATGCCAAAATTGAGCTCTCAAGGACGTTGTTTTCCCCCTGACGATAATACAATAAGGTATTGCCAAAGTCTTCATTTACCCTACCTAAAACGAAAAATGTGTTGTCAAAATCAATTTCGTTCGACGTTTCACATTTGAGTGCTAAAATTATTCCCTAATATCATAGAGGTAACTCTAAGACTAAAAGGTCCCGATGAAACGTGCTCAACTTTTTGGCTCAGCTCTGGTACCAACAATCAACACGAAATTAACGATTTTAATTTGGCTCACTACTTGACTAGCCTATTGCCATTATATTGACTAGCTAGCCTATAGACTTGACTAGCCTATAGCCTATTGACTAGCCATTCCAGTATAAATTCCAGTACTACACCACGTTTGTTTTGATTCGCTATGAAAGTTTGACAGATAAAATGAGGGGTTCGTGTATTTTCCTATGTTTCGAGGGGTGCATCGATTAGCTTGGGACCGAAGATAGTACCAGAGCTGAGCCAAAAAGTTGAGCTCGTTTCTTCGGGACCTTCTGGTCTTAGAGTTACCTCTATGCTGGTACTCTCTTCGGTCCCAAGCTAATCGATGCACCCCACGAACCCCTCATTTTATCTCTCAAACTTTCATAGCGAATCAAAACAAACAATGTGTAGTACTAGAATTTGACTGGAATGGGGTACGTTAATCGATTTGCTTGGGACCAATAGGCTAGTCAAGTAGTGAGCCAATTTAAAATCGTTAGTTTCCACCGGTTGGTATTACCAAAGATGAATACTAAGGTGAAACTGTCGGAAGAAAAACTTTCTATTTTAGTGTCCTCTTTCACGGTCCCTTTCATCCAATGAGTATCCCCCGTATGCATGGTAATTTTGTGGTTTGATGCCCCCTCGGTAGAGATAAAATTTTGCGCACTTTTTTTATACGATAGATGATGAGGAGAGGCCACCACTGGCCAGGGGGGGGGGGGACACCCCTCACCATCCCTCTCCAAAGGGGGAGTTTGGTAAAGAGAGATGATAAAACCGATTTGTACCTTCCTTAAAAGTTGTCCTAGCTCGCTATCTACTCTCTATATGCAATTTTCACACTGCCGTAATCTAAATGGAACTATCAATTCTATATTTTCATCTCCTCCTCATCTATCGTATAAAAATTACCACTTCAGTCAGTTATTCGAAATTAGCATCTTCAACTATAAACTAATCGATAATTTTTTGTTCGCTGTGCTGCCATTTTTCCACCAATGAGAGTGCAGCACATGTTTGAAACGATCGTTGATGTTAATGCTCATATCGGCATGATATAACCATAGGGGTAACTCTAAGACTAGAAGGTCCCAAAATAACGTGCTCAACTTTTTGGCTCAGCTCTGGTACTCTCTTCCGTCCCAAGCTAATCGATTCACCCCTCGAAACATAGGGAAAACCAATAACCCCTCATTTTATCTGTCAAACTTTCATAGCGAATCAAAACAAACATTGCGTAGTACTAGAATTTCGACTAGAATAGGGTACGTTAATCGTTTGCTTGGGACCAATAGGCTAGTCAAGTGGTGAGCCAATTTAAAATCGTTAGTTTCGTATTGATTGTTGATATAACCGATTACAAATATTTTACTTTTCGGTTCGTTAATCGATTAATCGATTATTCGAATGAAAATCGGCCATGAACTAGATCAATGTGAAACGTCATTTCAAATTTAAGGCCGTACATAAATAATGATACAATTTGAAAGGGGACCGGGGCTAATCCTCGGGCTAATCACAAATTACGTCCCATGGTAACTGAAATAAACACGAGTGCTGACCGGTTAGTATTACCAAGTATTACTATGGTGGTTGATGACGAAGACGATATCATGACAATAAAAAAAAATACTTACTTTCCAACCTGGCAAAAGATGCTTGATCCACCAATAGAATTCATACAGTCATTGTTTGCCTCACAAATGTACTTCAATAAGCATTTGTCTTCCGAGTTGTGATAAGACCTAGCATAAGTTTTAATCACGGTGATACCAGCTACAGCTGCATCGCTGAACGAATCCTTTTTTCCTAAGTTTCTCGCTGACATAGAACGATGAGAGAATGATGTCTTCAGGGCATCAAGAAGATTGACAACGATGTTGATGAACTGAAAAATAATGGAAAACAGATGCGATTTTTCAAAAACGTGTCTATCAAAAAAAAATTGTTGGTTCAAAATCAATGAAAATGGTAAGATTTTAGCAAAACTGACCAAAACATGTTATGGAAAATTTACAAGGGCCTTCAATATAGAGTAGCCTTATTTATTGCTCAGCTGTCTTTATTAGTTCGATGTAGCGAGTACACGGGATTGTTCATAAATTTACCAATAACACAATAGGGAATATGATTTGGGCCCAATAAGCAACCATCAATTACGTATTTATATCTTAACAAATAATTGTGGTCCATTCGAAGCGGCACTGCACAGTGTGCCAGATATGGAAACTAGCTGGACAAAATTAATGACTCCTCGGTGGGACGAACCCATCGTAGTGGTTAGCATCCATGCCTCTCACGTTAAAGGTCACGCGTTAAAACCGCATCCTAGAACAAGTCACGAATGATCTAAAATCTTTTAAAGTAACTATAAATACAAAAAATATAATTATTATTATAACTCCTCGGGGTTACGTCATAGTCTTCTGCAAAGCTGCTCAGCCCCTGGCTCAGCCATAAAATGCCTTCTTTGTGAATGAAAATTTTTAGGTCAGTGGAATTCGTGTTTGATCAGTTCTGTTTATGTATATTTTGAACGAAGCTTTATAGAGACTTGGTTTCTTCGACTAAGTTGGCATTGAGATTACGTTTAATAAAATTTCTGCAGACGTCAAAACCGTCAGAGATTTTCAATGATAATTTTGTTATTTAAAGTACTACAAAAAAATTTAGTTTATGTCAAAAGGTGAATCTCAGCATTTGTTTCTCTCGGTGGCGATCGCACTAACGACAGTTGGTAACTCGGTCACGGTATTTTTTGTGCGATTTATTTTTTGCTTGCAGCCGATCAGTGCACTCAAAAAAATTATCACATATATTATGGATGAAAACCATGTGAATTTCACATTTCATAGCTAAAAATTCCACCACAAAATCACATGAATATTATGAGGCCGATGAAAGTCATGTGAAAAATCATATAAAATTAACGTGATCGCATAAATGTTATGTGAAATTCAAAAGAAATCCATTAATTTTGTTTATGGATGAAAATCATTTGCGTTTCCAATGGAAGCTACATGAAAACTATTTTCGTTGTGCTCTTTCCCGTAGCCATTCGTTGTACACGCTATTTCAGAACAACCTAAATTTGGGTAGAATCCACCCAGATAGACCAAAACTGAAGCTCTACAAAATTGCTAAACTATGTTGGGAGTAACAAGTTGACAAATGAACAACGTCGATAGGATTCATCCCGACCAACCATTTCGTTAATTTTCTTTAATTATGCCTCTTCAAAGAAAAATCGATAGCGATCGTCACCATTTCATGAATAATTGTAAAGATACTAAAAGTCTAATCGTGAATCGTTTATGAAGACCTTTCTCAAAATATTGCTACCAATCGTTACCAATGTTAAAATATCGATTGTGTTGCCAGATCAAAATATCGATTTCTGTTGTAAAATCAAAATATCGATACACAACTGCTGATTTTATTTGTGATTTTTTTTATCTGCATAATTTCTAGTTTCGATCCCATGCCATCTGGGGTGTAATGATTTCGTTGTTGGTTGCTAATCCTCGGGTTCACGGCTGCTGTTGATGAGCTTATCAACGACAGGCAAACACACGCTAGTATGTGGCGTATTGAAATTTCTGTAAATGAAAACATGAACTCAATATTTATTTGTCATAACCATCAACCAGTCAGCCATGTAGGTGTAATAGAGGTCAAAAAGGTATCAATTTTCCTCATTGGGTTCCAAATGCCGAGAATCCCACCACGCATGCTATCATGGGTTATTAAATATTAAACGTGAAGAACTACAATGGTAAACATTTGCTGCGTCGCGGCCATCGGTCTTCTCGTTTATTTACCGGCAGATTGCTTCTTCCGATAAAATGCCGAATATGTCGATAAATATGTCGATAACAAGGAGATTATAAATGTGCATCGATGGCAATCTTTGTTGGTTTTTGTCAAAGTTCAAAGTTACGATGATATCAGTATTTAAATATTTATTGATGAATATTTGTAAAGAATACTAAAGTCCATGTGACATATCGAAATTAAAAGAAATTTAGTATGGCACCTTTATAGATTACTATCATATGACCGATGAAGAAATAATCTTAAATGTAAGTATCGATCAATAAAGATTTTTAAATGTGTACATCGAAATCATAAAAAATTTAAAGTAAATAATTGCCGACATGAATCTTTATTTCTGTATAAAGAACTTTAAAGAAGTTTCACGAACGGTTGGTCGGGATGTGTCAACATGTCACTCCCAGCATAGTTTACCCATTTTGGGTAGTATTAAAATAGCGTGTATGCAAAAATTTCGATGTGTGTGAATTAAAAAATAATACTTTGTTATTTATCTATCTCAATCGCTCAGGGAGAGATTGAAACTTTTGTGAAATCATTGGACGCGAATCCTGTTGACATGATCGCCACATATCACATTTTTGCTGCATATTGTTGCTGAGGAAAAAGCGATCTTCTTCAAATATGTATCTGTAGCAAGTATGCATTATGCCTTAATGCATAACCCTGAGCTATGCTGATGGGAAGGCAGTGGAAGTATCACTTGCGGGGGCAATGTTCAATATGTTCGTGTGTACAATTTGCCACCGAAGCTACCTTTGAAAGCTTAGTCCTGTCTACTTCAAACCAGAGGAACAGGATTTTTCAGTAATCAAAGGAACACATCTTAGTCCTTGTTAATTTTTATACTTTGTTGATAGTGACAAGACTCGGCTTTGTCCACCGAGGATGATCTTGAAACAAGGAAAACATGAGTTAGTTAGTCTTCATCAATGTGATTCCTAATATTCTATTACTTGTTCCCTAGTTTGAAGTATAAGTTCTGATGCATGGTCATGGTTTTGTTGTCAAGAATGACACTGTTGACAACTGTTGATTTTCCCGGTTCCAGTTTCCCTTATTAGGGGAAATGTATGTAATGTCGGCCTAAGTGTCCCTAATTTGGGCCCATACATAAATTCAGCAATCGACTAAATTTTCAATATCAACCAAAAATATCCATTAGTACCGTCCCAATGACGGGTTCATCTAGATACAATTGATAAATAGCAGATTTTTAGCGATGGGCCCAATCTTAGATCCATAGGCCAACATTAAAGCCATTTCCCCTATTATTATTTTTTCTATTTATTATTATTATAGTTCGTGGCTAAGATTTGTACTCGTGACTTTGGCGCGAGAGGTAAGGATGTTAACCACTACGCCAGTGCCGTCCTTTTTTTGTCGTTTTCATTAATATACCGACTTCAGAGTTAGTTTAAATAACACAACCACTTTCATTGTGAAAAATTGAATGCAGAAAGTGGATCTTAAGAAGAAGAAGTTGTTATTTATTTATGCAACAAGTTATAAAAAGGAGATGTTTTTAACACTCAGTACAGAAAAGTGCTACTTTTCGACACTCTTTTAAATAACATAATGGCCTACTATTCCTAGATAAAAAAAACAGTGTCGAAAAGTAAACCGTTCGAAAAAGTAAAATTTCTGCCACTATGATGCACATAGAAGGAGCGTCATATATCATACAAGTTTACATTATAGATAGTGTACATTTATGAGACATTTAATGAAATATTCCAAATATTCTATGCAAGCATCCATCTTTGTAACCAACATTTTTTGCAAGCTGCTAGTTTACGTGAAAAGAAAGTTTATATGCATGAATGTTTGCATGCATGGGTAATCACCATTAAAATTCAGGTTTTTTTTTTCATTAGAACTCATTGTCGAAAACTTCTACTTTTGAGTGCTAAAAATGTGGTATGCAACTCGTTGCAAAATTTGTTTTTTTTCAGCATTCGACTGACACTTTTCAGCACTGAGTTTCAAAATAGCTATTTATGCACCAAGAAGTTTTTTCACCGCGAGTCGTAGTTTATCCAATGCTGCTTCCCGAATCTGAAAAAAATCCGATTTTGCTACGAGTTGCATACAACATTTTTTGAACTCAAAAGAGTGTCGAAAAGTAAAACTCTTCAGCAGTCACTTTCCAACAATAATGTAATGGCCTACTTTTCCTAAATAAAATAACAGTATAAAAAACTACTACTTTTCAGTGCCCAGTGTCGAAAACTTCTCCTTTTTGATACTCTTTTAAGTGCAAAAAAAGTTGTATGTAACTCTTTGCAAATTCGATTTTTTTTACAGCACTCGTCGTGATTATCCTACTGGCTAAACCACGACTCGTTGTGAATAAATCTTCTGTTGGCAACTTTTTGCATAAATAGCTATATTCATTTATTTATCTTCATGGGATTGCTGTTTTCTGGACGTTTAAATTTAAAATGAAGCCTTGCAAATTGATTACCAATTCCTGTGTAGATTGTTCAAGGTTTGTTTTGATACGATATCAACTATTGTGCTTACGAAGTTGGCTAAAATAGTTTTTACGAGAATTGACGAGAAGCTTTATACATATCTTCGCTGAAATGGATATTCCACTTTCTTTATATTCTTATTATAACAAATAATTAATCAACAACCTTCATCAAGTGCCTATAAATGTATGGATAAATATCAGAATGTAAGTTTACATAAATAGCATATTAAGCTTGAACTAAGTCTAGATACAATCAAACCCTGTTACGATACGTTGTTAATTTTTTGAATAATATTTACAATTGGGGCTAAAACACAAAATCAGATATTACCACTTTTGGGCAAAAATATGGAGAGTATTTATGCAACATGTTTGTCAGCAACTGATAAGGAAAATGTATCCATCACCGATATGTACAATATGTTGCAGTCAACCCTTGTTGAATGTGGCAAATGACTTAGGTGGTGTGATTTAGAACTACGTGTATTGCTAACAACTAAGGACTACGTAATACGTTAGAACAGAAATTGTATACGCCTGTCCCCAACTTATTATTTTTCAAGCTATTACACAGTTGTTCGTTTAGAGCTGAATATGCCTCTAATATGTTTGCATTGGTTAACTGTGGCATGCATATTGAATATCAATGCCAAAAAAAGGCAAGGTAATTTTCAAATCTAAAATTTCCGTACCCGTTGCTTTCGGAATATATTTGCATCGTGGACGCACTTTTACTGACTAGAGCTAAGAGATCGCACAATGGTCCATTCAATGTATATTTTTCGCATAGGAAAAATGTTTTGAGTGCCAACATTAATTTGAAAAGCAACCGTATATTTGAATAAAATTCTCAAACCGAGAAATTTCCTGATTCTTAGCCAATGATGAAACATCCACCGTGTAATCAAGCTCACTCTGATTTGCTCCTGATCTGCTTTTCGGTCAGTGGGGTACACGAAAGGTGAGTTTTGGAAACAATGATAGGGTTGTTGGAGACTCCATACACAACTATAGGAACCTAACGCTTCTAACGTACCGCAGCTATAGGAGCGTTTACCCTATCTAAATGAAAGGTAATCGTATTTTGGTGTTTCGAATTTTGTGTTTGTTCATTGGCGGCATTCAACAAAGGTTAACTGTATTTATTTTCCTTAGAAGTATTTCGTTTTTGTACAACCCGTTTATTCTGATATATAAAATATCATACGTCGATAGTTATATTTCAGCACTGATATTGGCTGAAATGAAACTGAATATTATTTAATGCTTATTAGGCTGATGCAAATTTTATTTTTATTTTTTGTCAAAACCTTCCCCCCCCCCCAACAAGGGGCAACAAGATTACAAAATATCCATGGTGCAGAATTGAAAAAAATTATCCGGGAAATACTACCAATAATTCTTTCTATTAGTTAGGGACATAGACACATTATAGCTAGAATACTAGCTTTAATCTATTAATTTTCAGATGAATTGTCAAGATATTCCAAAAGATATATATTTTTTTCGTCCCTTGTTATTTATTTTTACCACCACTCTTCCTCCTACAACAATATTTGAGTGTTGTCGGACATAAAATTAAAATAATATTTGCATCGGCCTTATTACTATTTTATGGCTAGTTAAGATAGAAAATGAAAATTTTACCCATTGCATTTGATGCTCGATTGATGTGTAATTTTATGTTCAACAAGTGCCTTTGTCTTATAGTACTGTGTGTCTAATACGTACCTCTCCTGCTTGTTTTGCCATAGTGTTCATTTGATCTGGGTCCTTAGCACCGAACATAGCTGTGAACACAGCTGCGAGTACATTCTGCGAAGAAAGATAATCCAAAAGTTCGTGCTGATAACCAATTTCTACTATCTAACAATTCCTACTAGGATTATTTATTCATACTTAGTTAAACTACGTTAATGTTCTAAAAACTGGGTTTTACATGTTAAACATTATAAAATATTCATAAATTTCCATTACTACTAAATACTACGCAACTTGCATAAGCCAACCACCTGTGTACAGCTGTAAATACATATCGGATTTATATTGCTTTCTCATCTATACTGATAATTACCTGCATCGGCGATCCTCCGTTGTCCACCTTGTCAATACCGTCGTTAGCCCCTCCGCCAAGTAATGCAGTGATAATTTTGAGTCCAACTGAAATCACATTCGCCCAAGGCGACTGGGTGAAGCTGCCACCATTATCAATATCATCGGATTTGGTAGGAGCATTGTTGTTATTATTGTTGAACACCATTTGCATTAGCATTCCCAACATATTGGACCATGAGAATCCTCCATCCTGAATTTGATTGGTTTGAATATCATCAATATCATCTAGGGCTACTTTCTTGATGGCATTAGGTTTTTCTGCAAATTTTCTGTTTAGCTGAGGATTTGTGTAATAGGACGGCTGCTGTTGATGGGACTGTATTTGGGTATGTGATGGGTGGTGTTGTGGATAGGCATGTATCAAGACAAAATTACAAATGAGAATTGACACTAAAGTCCAACCAGCTGCCTTTTGGGACGACATTCTGAAAATATCGAAGGAAAGAATAAACTTTAAGTATGTCAATCAAGAAGTTTGATATGCGCTGATAAAAGTTGTAAACGACCATTGTTAATAAGGATTTAAAAGAGTTAAAGTCCTCGCCTTTCTTGCTAAAGAATACGAGCGCAAATCCCATGTCTGGACAAGCAAAAAATTACTAGACTTGCGAACTGTTAAGATAGTGATTTTTGTTTAATAGTAAAAATCAATTGAGCTCATGAAGAAAATGTTTGACACAATTTAGCTTAGATCAGTAACTAACTGAGCTAACATTATAGGATAGAACTAGAAAAACTCTACAACTGTGAGTAATGGGAAACCTATTTATCGATATCTTATTGACAAAGGCGACCATTTGAAATTTATAGTAGAGATGGTCGGGTATCCAAATGTGGACCCGAAATCATATTTTTTTTAAATACCCGAAAATTTTGCTTTTTGAACAACCGTACCTGATCCAACAGTCACGGGAACGGGTCGAGTATCGGGTACACCAAACTCGATTCCGACCATTTTAGCATAGGTTTAGTTTATAAGTTGGCACATAGTATGTGTTATTTGCAGTAGAAATTTGTCAACAAGTTTATTTCTATGTTCAAAATCATTATTTTATCATTTTTATTGGACACTAGCTGAGTGTGGTATATACGAATACATGTACCCGAGTATTGAATTCTTGTTGATATCCGTACCCAATCCGAACCCGATTTTTTTTTTCATCGGTTGTGGATGCGGGTCGGGTTTTGGCTAAAAATACCCGCACTTAACCATCTCTAATGGATAACTCTATTATAAATCCTGTAGAATTGTGCAGTGTACCTTCATGTACAACAAATGCCGCATGAACACATTTCAAATACTGAAGCAGTTGCGTATTTAAAATGTTCATATTATTATTTTTATTTTTATTCGGAAAGATTTCATCAAATTCCGTAGCGTCGTAGTAAAGATTTCCCCTTTGCCTTATCGTTACGGCTAGTATTTGTTTTCATTACCGATAGGAACTTTACAGTGCATAGGATTGCCTAATCAGTTCAATGTATGTGAATTTAATACGTTGATGACTTTCTCCTTTGGTTTGTTTTTTCCGTCGATCTTGTTTTCCGTGCTGAGTGCCAATGCTACCGACGTGCCAGGAAGGCAGCTCCCACACCTGGACCCTACCTATCGACCCATCAAACTCATGAACCGGGGACCAACGGCTTTACTTCCCATCCGAAGGAAGGCGTGATCAGAGATGTTATGCCTCAGAACATCCCGGCGGCGCCGACTGGGATTGAACCCAGGCCTGCTGGGGTGAGAGGTAATCACGCTTACCACTACACCACCGGCGCCGTTGATACGTTGATGACTTGAAATCAATTGCGATAAATAAACAGCATATGACGGTTCTTAAAATGCATTAACATCATAGTTCAGTTAAGTATAAATATGAAAAGATGAATCTATTACGTAAGTATGATTGTTGAGTTGACGGTCATATTATTGATGAAATAACAATAGGATAGGTAAAACGGCTTTCTCAGTCTTGCAGTGAAATGAAACAATCCATTATCTTTTCATGACAAATGTGATTTTTTTTTTCCTTTATTGGTTTTCAGTCGATCTTGTTTATTGTGCTGAGCACCAATGCTACCGACGCCAGGGAGGCAGCTCCCACACCTGAACCCTACCTATCGACTAATTAACATGACCAACGGGGACCAACGGCTCATGAGTTGATGGGCAACCGAAGGGAAGTAACTTGCGAAAGAAGGCGTGATCAGAAATGTTATGCCTCAGGTGCCGACTGGGATTGAACCCAGGCCTGCTGGGGTGAGAGGTAATCATGGTTACCACTACACCACCGGTGCCGCTAAATGACAAATGTAGTAGATTGATCCGTTTCACTTGAAGACTGAGAAGGCCGTATAACCAACAATCAATACGAAACTAACGATTTTAAATTGGCTCACTACTTGACTAGCCTATTGGTCCCAAGCAAACGATTAACGTATCCCATTCTAGTCGAAATTCTACTACTACACAATGTTTGTTTTGATTCGCTATGAAAGTTTGACAGATATAATGAGGGATTAGTGGATTTTCCTATGTTTCGAGGGGTGAATCGATTAGCTTGAGACCGAAGATAGTACCAGAGCTGAGCCAAAAAGTTGAGCTCGTTTCTTCGGGACCTTCTGGTCTTAGAGTTACCTCTATGGTATAACCTAACCTTAATACTGAACCAGTCGACCGACACATCAAATTTGAAATAACAATAGGTTTCCTCTAAAAATAATATTTGACCATTTGAAAGTGACTATCGATATTGATATCTTAATGTGAAAAATGTGTTCTCTGTGTAGTGGTGGTAAGAGACCTATTTCTCTTATATGGGAACACAGTTCAGATCTATGTATAATCTTTGTGTCCACTTTTAATATTTTGCAATGATGTTCATTGGTAATAATGTTGCAGCAAAAACGGCTGCCCAAATATGTCCATAATCAAAACAATTATGTGAATATAAATTGAAAAATACTATTTCACCAACAATATTCAAGTTTACATACCTAAAGTGTATTTTCAGTTCAAAGATTTAAGATTGTAAGCTGCGTGTATTTCGGATTTAAACTAACAAATCAAAGAACTGTTTCGACACAAATGTTGGATAAATTACTATTTCATCACGATTTCAAATATTCATCGCTATTTCAAAGACATCCCTAGACTTATTCCCGGACCTTTTTCGCCCACCGTTTTAGAAATTTGGCACTTTGGTCGATTGGCCTTGATCCCTTGACCCCTTCATAATTTCTCAAAATTTCTCAATCGGTCTGAACTGAATATATCAAAATATGTTTTGATATTTTCATTGCTTTGTCTTAAACTTAGAAGTAAATACATTGGCACAAAGAGATCTTTGTTTTGAGTTTATAATACTTAAATATTTTCGTTGATATTTAGAAATATTTCATAATATTTCCAAACACATCAAAGTTGTGTTGCCCTTTGAATGAACTCTTTAGTTAACAAACTGGACCCCTTTGACCTCGTACCATTGCTAGGCTAGGTATGCAACTTAGTTGCACATTATTAATAACTCCACAACGAAGCATTTCCGAGACTTTGTTTCTTCAGCAAAGTTGTTTTATTATAATGCGGACTATCTAATGGCATAAACAGATAGTTCTAAACTCAACTGCATAGATGGTGCCAACATTAACTCTCACTCTACAACAAAAATCTTTAAGAAATAAACAACTATTTTGCTATACCTAATACATGGCCGGTCATAACGCCTGAAACCCCCCCCCCCCCTCACCCCTCAAATGCAACGTTATTTATGAATGTTCCCTAAGGTAATATGTTTTCCTTATGTAAATTTACTGCTGTAGTTTTTCTAAATCAACTAAAATTAAGGGGCAAGATAACTTATATACCTAAGATGGTCCATTCAGAAACTGGACGCAAGAAATCAGCTATATCTCGGCGATTTGTTTGACGTAAGAAAAATGTTAAGTAGTCAAATTGTACCTTTTTTTATTCACTTTCATAAAAGATGTCAGAATATTATTCCATTGGGTTCATGAAAGAAACAAAAACTTTTATAGAAATTGAAAATATTTTATTTAGTGGCGCCGGTGGTGTAATGGTAAGCATAGCTGCCTCTAACTCCAAAGGGACTGGGTTCAATCCGAGTAACCGCCATCGGGATTTTCTGAGGCATAAAATCTCTGATCACGGGAAGTGAAGCCTTTGGTCCCCGGTTCATGAGTTCAGATGGTTCAATAAGCAGATTCCAGGTGTGGGATCTGCCTTCCTGGCGATGGTACCATTGGTACTCTGTACCGAAAACAAGATCGACGCTCCCACACCTGGACCCTACCTATCGACCCACCAACTCATAGACCAGGGACCAACGGCTTTACTTCCCTTCCGAAGGAAGGCGTTATCAGAGATTTTATGCCAACTGGGATTGAACTCAGGTTTTTTGGGTTGAAAGGCTATCACGCTTAGCACTACACCACCGGCGCCGCTAATTTGATAAAATTAGATATTAAGTTTTTTTTTACTTTTTCATTGTTAAATTAGTTGTCAAGTTCTGCGTGGTTTGATCATATTGTGTGAAAACATTAGTGGTGAGAACTCATCCGGACACGTCCGGGTTGGTGTTTGCAAGCCTATTGAAATCCATATGTTAGAGCAAAATTTGGTATATTTTTATCCAACAAGTTTTTTTTTTCAGTTTGACTCAAAACTTCTTTTTACATTGTTTCCGTGCCTAATATCACTCAAAACAGCAGTAAATAATGTTGGCCACGATTTTGCCCTAGTTACTGCTCTGTGCAGCGGGGAGTATTTATTCATTGATATTTTTATTGTGTTTCATTAGGAAGGTAAGAATGCATCCTTTTTTAACATTATGCGACATAAAAACTATTGTATCTAATCAAAAACAATGAGCAATCTAAGTGATAAAATACACTCCGCAGATCAATTTGACCCCGTTTTACGGTACGGTAGAGCTTTTTGTGCTGAACAATGTTTGTTCTATGAATATGTTTGTTATCTATATCATTAAAAAAATATCAACCAATATGTATATATAAAGGAAAAATATAATCAATTGTGTCCGCAGTACTCAGGTTTATACCTTTTTTATTTTTTTAATGTTTAAAGTTACTTTTGATACACTCGTTAGGCCTTGTATAGCTAAGCAACTTTGCCGAAGACATGAAATTGATACACTTCACCCCGAGCAGCTATTAATGTTTTCCAGCTAGATTACAAATCTGACCTACTATGCAACGTTATCTGAATGTATCATAATATCACGTTAAAACTGCGGAGTTATAACATGTTATAATAATTATTGTCAAGAAAAATGTCATCAAGATAGAATGTTATAACTGCTCAGTCTGGCCATCGTTTAAGTGTCCATATCATAAAACTAGTATTTCTTATGGCTCAGAACGGATAACGCGATCGAATTCAATTCTA